TTGTAAAAGTCACCAAGCAATCTGCAGATGGCTACTACTTGTGCTGGTTTATAGGTGCCTCGAGAGGCCAAGCCAGGAACTTAGGCTGACTGTCGCTAGTGCAGGACTTAGGACTGCTCAGCAAGAGATACAGAGCATACTGAGGCCAGATGCTGCTTCTTTGGGTATTGTGAGCCTTTGAGAGATTTTAGAAAAGTCCACAGCAAGAGTAAAGACAGGCTATTTGTATGTAATAAACCACTAGAAGCAGTTTGGGTGGACCCACAAGTTGGGAGAGGCAAGGTTCGGGAAATCACCTGGCAGAGCCACCTATGTTATCCAAGTTGATGGAGACTCAGATATGGCAGCTGCCTGAGTCCACACGCTGGAAAGTGGGAGGGCTCAACAAAGGAACAACAGATACTGCCAGCACTTCTGTTCAGAAGAAAGCCAATCCTCCAAGCCCTTGCCCTGAAGCCAGACAATTCAGCACTTCCCTGTATGTTCCTGGCACCCCTGGAACAGCTGGAGCTCAGAGTGAGCAAGTCCATCAACAAGCAAGTACATGCATGGGCCCTTTAAGAGAAACGCCTGCAACTTCTGCAGCCCTCCACCTCACTCAGCCATAATCTCCACTGGTTTCCCCAGAGGTTGTGGGGACTTCTCTTCTGGGCACTAGAACTCTGGGCTGGAGAGCCCAGTGTGGGGCCAGGATCCCTCGCTCCTCAGGTTGGAGAGGGGGCTCTGCAGCCAAGATAACCGTCCCGATTCTTCATTGTCACACATTGTTGTAGGACTGAGCCAATTCACATCTTCGCCCCTCCTACCTGTTTTGAGGTGACCTTTTATGTTTGTTCCTAGTTGTAGAGCTTCCTTTTAGCCAGATCTCAGGTGACTACCAGTGATGGTTGCTCTGTCATTTCATTATAATTTTGGTGTGGTCGCAAGAGGAGGATGCACAGCATCTACCTTCTATGCCATCTTGACCAGTCTCCCAGCAGTGCTTAGTTTTAGTGTAGTTGAATTTGCCGATACTCTTTATAACATCATAATCAATAGGCCTTATTTATGAAACCCAGTTAGTCTGAAGGGTTTAGTGTTTTGACTTTTACATTTGAAACAATACCCTTCCTGAATTTAATTTTTCCTTTGATGTAAGGCAGGAATTCAAATTCATTTTTATGTTTCTGTGTAAACTTCCCATTTATGTGTTGGCTCTTTCTGGTTCTATCTCTTGATCAATAGGTCTCAAATTTACCCTTGTACCATTATAACAGGTATTAATTATTGTAGCATACCACTCAGCCAAAAATAAGTTTATTGTGGTAAATAAGAATTTCAATGTCTGTCAATTAAAATCACAAGATAAATTGTAATATAATTTGCTTCTCTGATATATCAATTTACTATAAAAATAGTGACGACCAATGACTATAATTTCAACAAATTATCCATAATGTGGGAAAAATATGTCAAATCTACTACCTTGGGAAAAGTTGGTAGTGATATTCTATAAAAGGAGTAAAAGGCTTGTACATGTTCAGTCTGATTTTTTTTTATTGTGGTAAAATATATATTGCATAAAATTTACAATTTTCATGATTTTTAAGTATGTAATTTGGTGGCAATATTACATTCACAATGTTGGGTAATTATTGCTTCTAAATGTTTCTACAACTTTTTCACAAATCAAAAAAAAAATCTGTAGCCATTTAGCAATGAGGAATTAGAATGAGGAATTCCTTATTCTAATGCCATGCTGCCAACCTCTGACAACCTCTATTCTACTTTCTGTCTCTATGATTGTTCCTACTCTAGATATTTTATATAAGTGGAATTGTAAAGTATATGTGTATATATATTTTTCGTCTGGCTTATTTCACACAGCACAGTGTTTTTAATGTTCATCTATGATTTAGCATGTTTCAGAATTTCATTCCTTTTTATGGCTGAATAATATTCCATCACACACACATTGCATTTTCTTTATCCATTTGTCTGTTGATGGACACTTGGGTTGTTTCCGTGTTTTAGATATTGTGATATACTGTTATAAACATTGACATACAAGTATCTCTTCGTGTCCCTGGTTTGAATTCTTTGACTATATACCTAAGAGTGGATATACTGGGTCTTTTTTTTTTTTTTTTTTGGTCATACAGATAGTAAGTGGTAGAGTCAGGCTTCAGACCTAGAGCTCATGCTTTTTACTACTGTGCTGTACTGCATCTCACACTGCCATAGTGCCTGCCACTGTCTAAGATACATATTTAGCAAGCTAAAAAGTTTCAGGTAGCAATCAGCATTTCTTCTCTTTACCTTTTATAATTCAGTCAATAGAACCTGTCATTTTTTGACAGGCATCTAAATTCAACTCTAATATTTGTTACCCAGTTTTGATAAATTCAGAATCTTACCAACTGGTAATCAGTCATGCTTTAAACTTTAATTTTTAGTCATTATCTGGGGAAAAGAAGAATTTTGCAATAACTGCATAATAGCTTACAATCACAATCATAACTATTCAGGAAATGAAGTCAAATTCTCAGCTATTTTCCTCTGATTATTACTTGATATAATATTCAACTTGCTACTTTTTCAAGTCTCAGGCACAAAATTGGCAGAATCAGCTTTATAATGGCATTATAAATAGGGATAAGCATTGTTTTGAAATATATGTAAGATATCTTTTTGAGATATCAAAATGAACTGGTGAAAACTAGGACTTGGGATTAACTAGTTTGTACAAGTAGAACTGGAGAGGTTGAGTGACTTGTTCAAGTAATTAGTGTTATCCAACTGGTTAATGGTCAAGCAGGGGCTGGAATTCAGGTCTTCAGAGCAGCATGCATAGTGTTCTTTTCTTAGCACTTTCCTTCCTTCCTTCCCCTTCCTCTCAATGTTTACTGGGCCATCTTTCTTTCTTTTCTTCCTTTCCTTTCCTTTTCCTTCCTTCCTTCCTTCCTTCCTTCCTTCCTTCCTTCCTTCCTCTCTTTTAATATAAGAGGTTAAATCATGTAAAAAACCTTATTTTTTTTTCTTATTTCCCCCTCTCTCTAGCTTACTTAACTGGACATAATAGTGAAGAAAGTAAAATGTATTTCGTAATGTGTGTTTATCATTTCTGTACTTAATTTTTATTTATTTTTATTTTCCTCTACCCCTTTGGCAACCATCAGCATGTTCTCTAAATCTATGGGTCTGCTTCTGCTTTGCTTTGTTTATTCATTTGTTTTGATTTTCTAGATTCCACATGTAAGTGAAAATGTGGTATTTGTCTTTGTCTGACTTATTCACTAAGCATAATACCCTCTAGGTTTATCTATGTTGTTGCAAATATTATTTATTGCTGAATAATATTTTATTATACATATACCGCATCTTTTTTTTTCATTCATCTATCGATGGACACGTAGCTTGCTTCTATATCTTGGCTATTATAAATAATACCAGAATAAACAGAAAGCTATATATCTTTTTGAATTAATGTGTTTATTTTCTTCTGATAAATAACCAGTAGTGGAATTGCTAGATTATATGGCATCTCCATTTTTAAATTTTTAAGGAATATCCATACTTTTTTCCATAATGGTTGCACTAATTTGCAATCCACGAACAGTGCACAAGGATTTTATCCTCCACATCATCACCAGCACTTGTTATGTTGACTTATTGATGATGGCTGTTTTGACAGGTGTGAGATGTTATCTCATGGTTTTAAATTGCATTTCTCTGATGATTAATGACAATGAGCATATTTTCATATGTCTGTTGGCCTTCTGTATATGCCCTTTGGAGAAATGTTTATTCAAGTCCTCTGCTCATTTTAAAAATTCGATTGTTTGTCTTTTTAGTGTTGTATAATTTTCTTATATATTTTATATATTAACGCCTTATTGGATATGCCAGATAAGTGCATCCTATGCAAAGGTGCTTTTTCCAAATATGTAATATTCATCTTTTTATAATATAAGTTAGTGATCACAAATTAAGGGAATTAGGATGTGGACATCCTAATTCTAGATTTCACATATGAGTGAACATATGGTATTTGGTATATCGTAAGTGATGAGGTTCATCACTGAACCCACTACAGATGTCCTCTAGTTGACCCCATCAAAAAGCCTGTTATCATCTGACCCAGGTAAGGACAATTTTATGTCTCCAGGCATCATGCATCTGGGCATCATGTCATGTCCAAGTATAACACCTGTATTTATTGCCACCACCTTGTGAACCTGAGAAGAACCATCCTACAATTAAGTCACCAAATAGAAGAATGAAAATCTCCGCTCTCCTGTTCTTGAAGTCCATACCTCTGAAGTCCTAGTAATGAGAGACAACTCTCTTTATTGTTTGACCATATTAGAAATAGGATTTTTTTCTTATTAGAACTGAAGTCTTCCTCATTGAAGTTCAAATACCTCACAGTCATCTCAAACCACTGAAATAATATAATTATACTAATTTTATAGATAATAAAATTGAGTACAGTAGATGCTAATGTTGCCTCAAAGAGATATGGTTTACCAGTGACTGGTCTCAAAAATTACTAAATTGGAGCATGAAAGATGAGCTCTCTTGCTTCACTGTGATTCTAATTTGGGGTTTCAACTGACATGGGTCTACTGTGAGAGAAGGTGAAAGCTGGTCTCTAGAAGTGACCATAGCTGTGCTTCGATTTTTTTGTTGTTGTTGTTACTGTCTGACTTCTACACCTTTCCCTCTTTTGAGAGTTATTTATAAAAATGTTACTAAAATTTTAATCACTACCTCAGGTTCTTCTTATATGGAATCTGAGTAAAGAGATTGAGTTACGAATTGATGTCATTTGTCAAACAACATGGAGCTACAGAAAATAAAAGTCATGTTTCAACACCAAGTTAAAATGTATTTGGTCATTATATTATCTAGTCATTTTAGAAAAAATTGATGACAGAAGAATCAGGCATTCTGGACCTCCTACAATTTCTAACACTTTTATTTATTCTAAAAACCCAAGCTCAAAGTAGATAACACAATCACAGAAAAGGAGGTATTCTGCCAATAAGATTCCTCAAGGCTCCCTTCATGTCCTTGTTCCTCAGGCTGTAGATAAAAGGGTTTATCATTTGAGGAATCACAGTGTACATCAACGAAGCCACTGAAGTCAGTCTAGAAGAGTCAGTAACTTCAGAACTAATATACACTCCAATAGCTGTCCCATAGAACAAGAAAACAACTGAGAGATGAGACCCACAGGTGGAAAAAGCTTTATACTTTCCACCAGCTGATGACATTCTCAAAACAGAAGAGACAATTTGAGTATAAGAGAAAATAATTCCGGAGAGAGGAATACCAGCAAACAAGCTAGCCGTAAAATATGCCAAGATGTTATTGATGAGAGTATCAGAACAGGCCAGCTTGATGACCTGAGAAAATTCACAGAAGAAGTTGGGGATTTTCACATCCTTGCACAAGGACAGCCGAAACACCATCAGGCTATGGAGCAGGGCATTCCCAATGCTAGTGAACAGTGAGACTCCAATCAGCAGGCCACAGAGTCGGGGGTTCATAATAACCGTATACCTCAGGGGATGACAAATGGCCACATAGCGGTCATAGGCCATGGCTGCAAGGAGAAAATTTTCCAAACCAACAAACACCAGGACAAAGCAGATCTGGGTGAGGCAACCTATATAACTGATGTGCTGATTCTGTGCTTGGATATTCACCAACATCTTTGGGATTGTGGTTGTGCTTAAAAAGATATCAGTAAAGGACAGATTGGAGAGAAAGAAGTACATGGGCATGTGAAGGTGGGAGTCAGAGATGACAGCCAGGATGATGAGCAGGTTTCCAAAAATGGTGACAAAGTAAATGGAGAGGAACAAGCAGAAGAGGAGGGACTGCTGTTCTGAATTATTGGTCAATCCCAAGAGAAAGAATTCTGAAACATCTGTTTTGTTTCTGGGTTCCATGTTGTTGATGAATCTGATAGACAAGATGAGATGAAAATAAAATAAGACAAAATTAAATCGAATTTAAAAGTTGTCCTTAAATGAGCTGCAGCAGAATCAGCTGGGGAATTGTTAGAAATGGAAATTCTTGGTACCACTCCCTACTTACTAACAAACTCTGGGGTGAGGCCCAATAACCTATGAGATGATTTTGGGTGGTGAACACAGTGCAATATGCAGATGTCGTATTGTCGAATTATACACTTGAAACCTATGTAATTTTATTAACCAATGTCATCCCAATCCATTTAATAAAATAAAAATAATCTTCGTTAGAAATGGAAATTCTTGGTACCACTCCCTACTTACTAACAAACTCTGGGGTGAGGCCCAATAACCTATGAGATGATTTTGGGTGGTGAACACAGTGCAATATGCAGATGTTGTATTGTAGAATTATACACTTGAAACCTATGTAATTTTATTAACCAATGTCACCCCAATACATTTAATAAAATAAAAATAATCTTTGTATATTATGAGCCCATGTGAATATTCAAATCTTTTCCTCTGTTAACGTCCCCCTCCATCACAATCTCCTACACCTCTGTTTCCCAAATTTTTGGCCCAAATTTTTATTGATCACCAAGTCTGTTTTACATATTATGCCAAGTTCTAAGACCAAAAAGGAATAAGACATGACATTATATTTCCTACAGAAATATTTCTTGCTTTCAAACAAACAGAAAGATGAGAATGAAGTTACTCAGTCTCTCTGTAGAGTT